ACATCTTTTTGTAGAGAATGAAAGTTATTGAAGTCTTATTTTTTTTGTAAAGTGCAAATGTTATTGAGATGAGTTTTATAAACGTAGACTTGGCGCAATTTTTTACAGTAAAACTGTTTTTGTTCGGATTTCATATCTTTTTGTTAAGTATTATTTTTTGCTTATTTATTACTTAACAAAAATAGACAATAGAATAAAAATAAATTATAAATAGTCACTCAGCTTAAAAGCTAATGAAACGCTCAATTAATTAGTGTTATTACACTTATTATTATAATCAACATCAACTTTTACAAATTTAAACTGAATTAAAATGTTTCAAATGTGAACGGTGGATGACGCTGTTCTTAATTATTTTAGATTTTAAAATTGAAATCTGAAACCTTTGAAACATCAATCCGCATCAACGTAATTTAAAAACTACAGTAAGAGGCTTAAATAAAAAGCTGAACTTAATTCAGCCATAATTAGAATTTTTTTCGGAATTCAGTAGTAAAGTTCAAATTATTTTGATGAAATCAAAACTGAAATATTTATAACATGTTAAACAATCAACTACGAATAAATATTATTTATTCAGTAGACAATCACAACGGTTTTATAGTTTTGGGAAGGGATTTTTTGTAACGCCGCGCCATCTCGTGAAGTATTTCGGTATTACATTAATATAAAATAATTAATAATTGGGAATTTAATTGTTTTTATGATCGAACAATCACCAATAGTCGTCGAAGAAACGATAATTGATCAAAATGAATTAATTTGAGCGATAAAAATAAAGATTACTAGTAAAGGAGGCCCACTTAACGGTGATCATTTATTTAATTAATTATAAATAAACAAAAGACGAACAAACAATTTTTACATTCGAGCATTAACGAACAAACGACGAACAAATAATTAAAAAATAAAAAAATCCGAAAATAAAAAAGGGGGCCAAATTTACAGAGCCGAGCTCATGGATTGTTATCGAGTATAGTAGTCTATGTTAAATTTTAATACTCTGTGAATGGATAGTGAGGCGAAAATAAAATGGTGCAGTGCTCTGGTTCTGGACTCTGGATGCCGCGTTTTTAGTGATTTCCTTTGACTGCTGCAATTGTGTCACTATCTCAGATTTATTGTCGATATTGTCAGCACTAAGTTCATTGAAAATGGAAACAAATTCAAATCCCATAGTTGATATGCAATCTTGTCGAATATGTCTCACTAATAGTAAGACTTTATGTCCATTATTTAGGTACAAATTGTCTGGAAACTACGCAGAAATGCTGACAGCAATTGCCGATGTAAAAGTAAGTACACAGTTTCAAATCTCTACTTATTCTCTATCGAAACAAATGTTTTCACAAATGCTGAAATTTCATAGTGTGTATATGGTAAATGAATGGAAACAGAACAGAAATAGTAATTTGTCACTATTTTCAACTAAGCCGACAATTTATTTTTAAGGTATTTTCATTTTCTTTATTTACATTAATAATAATAATAAACTTTCAAACAATCAGACTTGATGAATTTACTTAACGACAATTTTAGCAAAGCCACCGGGATGGAATTTGTGTTGATAAATGTGCGTTCATAGATGTACAGAGAGATAAAGTTGTAAACTCAGATTGCTTACAATTTAACCATAGTGTGGTCTTAAAATTTCTTTGTGAATCTGAAACCTACAAGTATCTTGGTATGTTCGAAATGCTAAATATAGTGGACGTAGATATGAAACAGTNTACTTAACGACAATTTTAGCAAAGCCACCGGGATGGAATTTGTGTTGATAAATGTGCGTTCATAGATGTACAGAGAGATAAAGTTGTAAACTCAGATTGCTTACAATTTAACCATAGTGTGGTCTTAAAATTTCTTTGTGAATCTGAAACCTACAAGTATCTTGGTATGTTCGAAATGCTAAATATAGTGGACGTAGATATGAAACAATTGTTTAGAGAAATATATATTAAAGGATGGGATGGTCGACCATTGTAGGACATGCCACAATCCAGGAGAGTTTATTAGACATATTGTTTCTGGCTGTTCTTCTTTTGCTAATGTCGAGAATTTGCATAGACATCATCAAGTATTGTGAGGGGCTTTCTCACTCTTGGGTCCTCAGCATTGGTGGCTTGTGTCGTAGACACTGTCATCAGCAGCAACCTATTTTTATATGGTGTTTTTTAAAGTGTATTTTTAATATTTTTTAAGAAAGATTTATAAATTAATGAGATTTTAAATGGATATAGTACAATAATAATAATGCACAGAATAAATCATGCACAGTCATCCTTCCCCAAATAAGGATTCCCTCTGTTATGAGTACCAGAGACTGACATATGTACTTATATATATAGATAATGAACACCCAGACACAGAGCAAACAAACCTATTCATCACATGAATGTTTGCCCAATGCGGGAATCGAACACAGGACTCTCTTTACAACAGTCAGGGGCTCTAATCATTGCATTACTGAGTCAGTCATTAAAAAATTATAGTATAAAATAGTATATAGTATTATTGAAAAAAATTCAAAAACGACCAGGAATAAAAAAAAAAGTTGAATAGTAAAAATGACACAAATTATTTATACTTTTTATTTAATTAAATTTAAATTATTTAATTAAACTAATTTGTTTAAATTATTAGATTTTTAACTTATTAACTTTATTAACCTAAAAGGTTAATATTTTTAAAGGTAATAATTAAATTACACGGCACTTAAATTTTGGATGTCTTATTTTATATTTGCCATATTATTGATGAAAAGGAAATAAGTGTTCCTGCAACTTTAGTACTGCTGCTTTAGATAAATAATGGAGTGAATATGTCCAAACAAAAACTAAAGTAAGCTACTAAAAAACTAAACTGCATGTAAAGGCTAAAGCTAAGTATTAGTTGTTAATTGTAAATGTAATAAGAAAAAAAATTAGTACTTCAAATCATAAACTTTCTTATATTATAGCTGTATAATTATTTAAAATCAAACTTTCTTGTGAATCCTATGGTTGGCTAAATTGAGATAAAAAGTATGACTTTATAATGGAACACTTTTGAAATTATTGTGTAGATAATATACTGATATTGATAATATTACTGGTGGTAGGACCTCTTGTGAGTTTGCACAGGTAGGTACCACCACCCCGACTATTTCTGCCATGAAGCAGTAATGCATTTCGGTTTGAAGGGTGGGTCAATTATTGTAACTATACTGGGGGCCTTAGAACGTATATCTCAAGGTGGGTGGCGCATTTACGTTTTAGATGTCTATGGGCTCCAGTAACCACTTAACACCAGGTGGGCTGTGAGCTCGTCCACCCAACTAAGTAAGAAAAAAATAATTAAAAAATGTTGGACTAAATATACACTTTATGAGACAAAAGTATTTAGCAAAATTTTAAGTTAACATTAATTTAGTAGTCTCAATGAAATCATCGTACCTAAATATGGTCATTGTTTTGAGATCCATAAATTTTATTTCAGTTTTCTTGCTACTTTGATGACAATGAGGTTTTTTGTACCTAAAAAAAATAAATAAATAAAATGATTTTAGGTCTCTTGTAATGATGGACTACCTGAAAGGATATGCCTTAAGTGTTGCACGACTTTGGAAAAGGCGTACTTGCTCAAGACAGTTGCTGAGAGGTAGACTTGAAACCATTTATATAATTAAATATATAATTTATTAATTTATTTCACAATCAGGAATATAATAATTAAACAAAGGAAATTTGGTTATAAGAAACAACTGTTATGTAAAAATTTATACTAATTATTGGATAATTTGTTTTAATTTTTATTTAATTATTATCAATAATTACCTCTACTACTCTAATACTAGTCTACTAGTCTAATAATGAGATATTATGGATTGGTACCATGGCTCTGCTTATTTCTCGCGCTTATCACATGATGCAGTCTAAAGGGGGGGCATATCTGTAATTCCAGCAGTTGTTACCTAGTTGGACAGAACACAGTTCTGTCTATTTCTAGTTCTATTGTAAAAAATATATTCTCCAAATATATAAATATATGCTTCTTATGCAGAAAACAAATTTTTGTTATGCAGGTCTGACAGAAAACTTAGAAAACTTTTAGCTAAATCCAAAGGCAATGTACTAACAAAGAAGATAGCTTTTGACTCATTTACTGACATCAAAAGTGAAATTGGAACTATAAGTGTTAAATCAGAACCCAAATGGGATTTAGAATTGAGTCTTGACAGTGAGAATAAAATGCCTGTGGAAACAGTTGATGGAAAAGATATTGTAATTGCTAATACTGTAATAAGAAAGGTTGATTCTACTATGGATGCACCAAAGGTTGAAGTTATTGGTGAAGGCGATGCTGCTCAGATCACTTGGAATAAAAGGGAACCATCAGAGGATTCTGATGTAAGGAATAAACTTTTAGAATAAAAAAATAATAAAATTTAATATTATATATAATCATAAATTAATATAATATATATAATTTAAAATTGTAATAAATATACATAATTTAAACATAAAAAAATAAATTAATATATATTTATAAATAATTAAATATTTTAGGACGACTATGTGGATGCTGCTGTCCGAGATGATGATGACGATGACGATTACGTCCCACCAGTGGAAAATAAAAAAATAAAATTCAAGAAACCAAAACTGTCTGAAATCAAGGTTTTCAAGGAGAAACCCATTGTACGTAAAATCAAAGTGATCAAAAGGTACCGATCAGATGACAATGGTTCGAATTTATCTAATTTCAACACAAAAACAACTTCGATTACATGTTGTGAGTATTCATGATTAAATTAAAACGTGAACATAAACTATCATTGCATTTTTTGTTTTAATTGTTAGAGGAGGGTGACCTGTAGTTTGAAACTACCCAAGAAATGTACTATTCAAGTATTCTACTATTATAGAAATGTGTTAAAATCCACTGGACTCCTCATACACTTTTTAGGACATATTTTAAGTAATGATTAGTTTTAATAAATATTATAAGTATTAATATGTAAGGTAACATAAAGCTATCAGTAGAGTTTCAGGTGACCAAGTAAATATTTCAGGTTTTAAAAGAGTCTGATGTTTTATTTATGCTTTTTGTATATGGCTGTGAGTCTTAAATGCTTAAGCAATCCCATTAAATATGTTATAATTTAGACCTGTGTGATTTCAGATCCCATTTTAAAGAATGGCACAAGAGGATCACCTATCATCTTGAAACGCCCTAAAGATTCAACATTACTAAAGGTGCACTCATCATATAAGCCTAGAACACAATCTACAGTTGATGGACCAAAGGCTATGCATAGAGAAAAACCTATACGCATGGTAAAAACTGCAACTCCAAAACAGAAGGAAAAACTTGTTTGTCCTGTTTGTGGTATACTAACATTTACTTTGGGTAACCATATGTCAACTCACCAAGGTATGTAACTATTAATTTAATATAATCATATAGATAGGTGGAAGGCTACTGGGCTTAAGTGATATTTTTCTTAATACGCAACATTTATCTTTGTAATTAAAAGTGCATTTTATTTGGCATTAGCATCATCAGTTTGATGCTATTAATTGATCTTCAGTTAAGTTTACTCCATGCAAATAGCTCAAAAATATTTCTTTTTGTTATATTTGTTCCAAAATTTTAATGTGAAATGGATCTCCTGTAAAGTTTCAAAAATGTCGTTTACTGGTGGTAGGACCTCTTGTGAGTCCGCGCGGGTAGGTACCACCACCCTGCCTATTTCTGCAGTGAAGCAGTAATGCGTTTCGGTTTGAAGGGTGGGGCAGCCGTTGTAACTATACTGAGATCTTAGAACTTATATCTCAAGGTGCGTGGTGCATTTACGTTGTAGATGTCCGTGGGCTCCGGTAACCACTCAACATCAGGTGGGCTGTGAGCTCGTCCACCCATCTAAGCAATAAATAAAAAAAACGATCAGCCTTTCACCCCTCTATATGATATAACTCCATACATAGAGTTAAGCTACTGACTTTAGTTAAATGAGTTACTGATACACTATAGTCCCTATAGACTCTAGGTGTGGTCTTGAAATTAACAGAGCGTCATATGATTGTGAAAGATTGATTGAAGAATGTCTGATGAAAAATATTAAGCAAACACAAAGTTTATGAATGTTTTTTTTATTTACTCTCAGACATAAATAAATATATCTGTAATATATTCTGTAGTCTTAAATGATTCATGATATTCTATACAGAATAAAACACTAAAGTCCCATTCATTAGTAAAAGATTACATGTTTACTTGTGATAAATGTAGTTTGTACGTTTAAAGATTTTATGTAAGGTAATTATTTTTCAGAGAAAAAGCGATTTGCATGCCCTCAATGTCCTAGGACATTTGCTCAAAAGACAAATCTTCAGACTCACGTTAAACAGCATACTGGTATAAAGGATCACATTTGCGAGGTGTGCGGAGCTGGTTTCTATAGTCAGAAATCATTAGTCAGGTTAGTTCAAAGTTTTATACTATTTTTATTTTATTTATACTTTTATATAATTATAATAGAATATAAGCTTCGTTGAGTTTTACAAGGTTTGATAAAATCAATACAACATACTTCATACTCAGGGCTTTTAATAGTATTTTCTTCAGTCTAACAACATTTATTATTATTTCATACATTGCCTTGAAAAAATACCAATATAATAGAATATTTAGGTTAAAATATATGAAGGAAATATAATAATATTTAACAGTAGGCAGTGGCTTGGCTTTGCCCTTGGCCACCAATGTCGTCCATGTGCACTTCCACACCCATAAGCAACGGTACTTACCATCAGCTGGGCCATAAACTCGTCTGCCTACAATGACAATAAAAAATAAATAGCATAAATTGGATTATTTCTATTTTGTACTACATTCAAATAATATTCTAAGGACATATTTAATGATACCTACTTCAAATGTTACAAGTATATTTTTAAACGTATAATCTACATTTTTTTTTAAATACGTTCCTGGGACATTCTACCTTATTCCTATATGTACAGATAGATAAAATTGTTTGTTAATATTTTCCAGACACAATTTAATTCACAGAGGAGAAAGGCCGTTCTCGTGTAATTTGTGCAGCAAACGATTCATTGCTGTAAGTATTTTAATGTTTTTTTTTTTTTCGCATGCTTATTTTAAACTTATCCATCAATCATGCATAAACTCTAAAGTCCTATGGGTATACTTGGGCCATTACAAACGTGCGAACTTAGCCTCAAATCATTTTAATCAGACCTCTCGCTCACACTTATAGGCATATCGGATCTCTCGCTCACATTTATAGTGTTGTGTGTTTTATACACACATTTATTTAAATTTAAAAAATATTTTTTCCGGGTCACGTTTTTAATTCCTTAAACACTATCAACCCATTATGAATAACCAAACGCGTTTGGTCGTTAATATCGCCCTTTAAATTTAACAAAGTTAAGTTGTCAAATAATGCTTCTATGGTTCGCGTAGGATTGTATAATGATAATTAATACAATTTTCACAAACAACTACAACCTACAATTTACATGTACCAGTCATCAACGACCACGTCATCTGACTATCTAAACCCGCGCGGAATCCCTTTATCGATATCGAGTTGCGCGCCATTGTCACATTCCTTTGACGTAATGTTTTATGACTCAGTTCGCACGTTTGTAATGGCCCAAGTATAGTAATGAGGCCGTTATCGAAAGCTAAATAGGAATAAAATACTGCTCACATTAACATTCTTCATTTACTATACTAAAAGTTTTTTTTTAATTTTTTTTATTCATTTTTCTATACTGTACAAATTGAGACTTCCATCACATTCCCCAAAGTGAGAGGCGTCATGTACAATGGGCTCCCATAACCCATATCAGGTTGGCGGCAAGTTCGGGCAATACCTACTAATACAAGTCGTTAAAGCCGACATGAAACTCAAAGAAAGTTAGCAGACGGTCTCGTGTACCGTCAAGGTCGTTCGATTACGGAGCGACAGTTTATTTTTGTTTGTCATACATTGCCGCTCTAAAATGTGAATAAAAATCTATATATATATATATATATTATATCTATAAACCTGCCCTTGTTTTCGCGAACGATTCGAATACACTTGATAATGCAAATTTGGTACTATATAGTATGTGCTAGGTTTCTTTTAACTAATTATAATTGTAGTTCTAGTGTTCGCCCACTGTTCGATGTTGCCATTTTCTTGTTGTTAAGTAAACGGGTCAAAATTCATTATTTTTTATTGGTAACACCAAAGTTTCGTCCATCGTAGATTTTATTAAACAAAAAAAGTCCTTTAACAGAGAGACCAAGGTATTACGACTGTTTTGGTTTGTTTATTTACATATAATAATACATTTGTTTTTGGTTTGTTTCGTTATCTATGTGGGTCATATATTCTTCGTATTTTCCGAATTTTGCTATAAACCGCTCGTATTATTGAATCAAACTATAGTTTTGGTTAATTTGATCGAATGCAGATCATTTTATTCGTAAAGTGAGATTTAAAGCTTTTCTTAATTTCGTTTATTATAAAGAAATATAAAATACGTATTACAAAATGACTGAAAGTTTTCGGTGGTGGCTTTTTTTAAACCGTCGTTTGAATTTATTTAGTATATTTAGTATTATAGTATTAGTAATAAGCATGGCAGTTGAAACAAATTATTTTGAAATTGAATTTTTAGTAAAAGGCATGTAAAATTATTTCTAACATAACTTCAATAATTTTTATCTGTATAGTTTGTACATAGTAAAATATTTTGTTGTTGTGTTTCCCATATTCGGTCATTTGTTAATTTCGAAATTCGATTTTATAAGCATTCTGTTGTCATTGATGTTGTTTAGCGNAATAAGCATGGCAGTTGAAACAAATTATTTTGAAATTGAATTTTTAGTAAAAGGCATGTAAAATTATTTCTAACATAACTTCAATAATTTTTATCTGTATAGTTTGTACATAGTAAAATATTTTGTTGTTGTGTTTCCCATATTCGGTCATTTGTTAATTTCGAAATTCGATTTTATAAGCATTCTGTTGTCATTGATGTTGTTTAGCGGAGGCGATGACTATTTTCCATCAGGCGTACCGCATGCTCTTCTGCCTTTTGAGGCAATGAAACAAATATACGCCTGATCCTTAAATACGTATATGGCCCTAGAGAGGGCGTTACTTGTCACGTGATTCGAGACCCAGTTTTGCGACTGTAGGCAATATTTATTTTGTCATAAAATTGAATTACCTAAAAACCATTAGCCTGTAGTTACGGTAGGGTACGGGTAAAAAAAATGTAAGAAATCGATTGGTGTAATTTCAGCGTTGCGATCTGAATCGTCATCTGCGAATTCACTCCGGTTACAAACCGTTCAAGTGTAACACGTGCACGATGTCGTTCAATGCGAAACATCAGTTACAGAATCACGAGAGGATGCACACTGGGGAGCGTCCGTACACTTGTCAGGTGCGTTCACTTTATATATATATATCGTTTTGTGCGTTACAGATGCAAAGTCTGCGCCGACACATGCGCATTCACACAGGGGACAAGCCCTTCAAATGTGATATCTGCAATAAAAGCTTTATACAGAACCACCATCTGCAAAATCATATGCTTACTCACACCGGAGATAAGCCGTACTCGTGCGAGGTCAGTTTGTCTGTTATACTGATGAACAAGATTGTTTGTTTTTCATATTATTAAATATATTATGATATTCCTTGTTCCCTCTAATGATGAGGTTCTCTAAGTAAGTTTGTACTGGTATAGACCAGAAAACCCTGCGTTATGGTTTGGTGAGACAGTTATTAAAGCAACGTAACCGAGACATCAAGGCTTCATGTCTGAAGGTGGATGGCGGTGTGCACTGTGTGTACTAATGATAACTACTCAACGAGAATCTGACCTTTAGGTCAGTTTTCATCGTTGGTTACACTCATAGAATATGAAATTTAATTTATTAAAAAATGGTGCGCAAGCAACTTGGTGCACGTGAAAGAAGTGAAACTTCTTTTGCGGTGTGTAGTATTGTGAGTTTTCTTCAATTTTAATCCTTAAATTAAATTACTCTTAATTACTTAAATTAATTATAAGTAATATAGAGCGGAATGCTGTGTATAAGAAAAACGACTTAGTTTGCTTTGTCCTTTCCCTCTCTCCACGGTCGAGTGGTACGCGAGACGCTCTGTCTATTTTCTCGCTCTCGCTCTTCCTAAATTGTATCTCTCCTCTCTAGCCGCAACGAATTTGTTCCGAGTTAAATTTTACTCTCAACCGGCCTAAAGAAGTTTCACTTGAAAAATTTGCTGCTCAATAATTTAATAACAACTATAGTAAGCGGCACGTAAGTTGGCAAGGTTTTGGTGTAGTGGGGTTAATGTCGCGCATGGTGCACATTGCAACTTAATTTTTTATTTGCCGTAATTTGTTTTTAAGCCTTTGTGTTTAGAAGAAAGTTAAAGAAAAGAGAGAAATTCGTGAAGTGTATTAGGTGTTATAAATAAAATACAATTGAAAGTTAAGAAGTTTATTTAAAAAATATACTTAATATTCAAAAATATGTGTCGCCGTCGTCATTATCATTTTCTAATAGTGCTACCCCTTGGATTAAATTTATGGTAGCACCTGAGCTGGTGGAAGGAGTTGGCTCCTCATCGTTGACATAACGAAGAGTCGCTGTCGTCACTGGCTTAAATAATAAAACGCTCAGTGACTGAATCGACTATATGGTCATTGGTATTTGGTCCTGGCATTGCAAACAAATTTAAAAGAATAACACTCGTAACAAAAACTAAATTTAAAACAATAATAACAACTCGTAACAAAAACTCAATATAAACAAAGGGCTCCTACAATTTAGTAGGCGCATGTGTAATCATGGAGCGAACGGAACGTGAACGCGGTGCGGGAGGGGAGGGTCGACTGACTCACCAATCGTGCGCTCGGGACGGTGCTACGTCTTTCCCCGCGTCCCGCTTGACAACCAAAGAGACCTAAAAAACGACTTCTGCGCATCTTACGACTCTTGCCAAGTTACGTGCCGGGGACTATACCTATTTGATTACATACTAAAATTAAAAATAAACAATTTATATTTTCAATATTTATACAGGTATGCAACGTTGCCTTCAGCTACAAAGTGAACCTGAACAATCACGTTTTCAAAGCGCACGGCATAAATTTGAAGTTCAAATCTATTCACACGGTCACGGAAGATATTCTGCGTAGAGAGATGGGATTGGAGAACGAAGCGAATCTTACCATAGCGCACATAATACCGCAAGTGGGAGAAGTGCCGGCCGCAGCCGCACACGAAACCGTTAATCATACGTCTGAATATTGATTTTGTGTTTATATTCATTCTCGTTACGTCACTACGGACTACTACATGGTTATTGGATTATACAGGGCGGGAACGACGGTATCTTTTTTTTTAAAGGGATTTTATGACCTGGTAACTAAGACCTTTAGGTCAAAATGACGGTATCGCTTTAAATCGAACGACCTCAATGTTGTAATGTTTCAAGGCCGCACACAAAATACCATACGAATAGCCTAGACCAGCGGCTCTCAACATTAAAGGCTAATAATAAACATTAGCATCGCAATCAAATTATTTTAGACAAATCCGAAACACCCCTACTTACTTATATACAAGAATATTGATAGTTCAAGTGAAGGCACCATTCTTAAATTATACATCACTAGCTGACCCGGCAGACTTCGTAGTACCTCAATCGATAAAATGAAATAAACGACCTAAGCTTTTGTATAAAATAAACTTAAAACAAACAAAAAGAATCCGTCCGACTGGGGACACATCAAAGGAAAAATAAAATTGTTTGTTTTTGTATAATTCCGAGCATTTTTATATTTATTCACCTTTTAAACCTTCTCTGGACTTCCACGAATAATTCAAGACCAAAATTAACCAAATCGGTCCAGCTGTTCTCGAGTTTTAGCGAGACTAACAAACAGCAATTCATTTATATATATATATATATATATATATATAGATTAATAATATATTAAACGTAGTTATGCAAGTCTCACGGTGGATGACGGCATTATCGTTATTGATTTATGTATAAGGCCTCCGGTGACCACTTAACACCAGGTCTCCAGTAAGCTCGTCCATTCCGTTAAGCAATAAAAAAAGTTCCCAGAGATGCAAATCTTCCCGGTCTTCTTAGCTAAAATTATCGTATTGTAAATCTCGGTCATGGGCTTACGACACAATGTGTTGTGACACGATGGTTGAGAACCACTGGTTTAGGCAAAGGGTTTTATATGAGATTTTATCTTTTTAATCATGCTGTAGGCTTTAGACAAGACCGGTGACCCATTTCTAAGAATATTTCAAATATTCAAAACATTGTCAATGCAATTTTGTTACGATAATTATTAAAAGATAATTTTATGTCACTCTTTTATTCGTTAAGTGGTGTTCAACTTTGGTTAAAAATGTTACATTTTTAAGCAAAAACCATTTTTTTTATTGCTTAGATGGGTGAACGAGCTCACAGCCCACCTGGTATTAAGTGGTTACTGGAGCCCATATAACGGCTACCCCACCCTTCAAACCGAAACGCATTACTGCTTCACGGCAGAAATAGGCAGGGTGGTGGTACCTACCCGTGCGGACTCAGGTTTCTATTTTATTGCTAGCCACCTATACCGTCCTACCACCAGTAAGCGGTATCGAACATAGAACAGAAGATATTGCTGAATCGCGCTAATGACATTTTCAAAATACATTCACATACAAGTTCCGAACAAATAACATTTTGATTGTAGGTCGGTGAAAGATTTTGTTTTTATTTATTTATTTATGTACACACAGAAAACAAGACACAGTACAGAGTAATAGGAAAATTATGTACAAAGGCACTGCTTATTTCTTTGAGAAATCTCTTCCAGCAGACCTGCGAGAGGAAAATGAGAATAATAATAAAAAGTGATAAGTGTGTGTAGAACAAATAACACATAACTAAAATAACAAATACAACATTTTATCGTATTCCTCCCAAATAATTTTTTTTTTTTTTTTAAATATCAGTGATTTCATTATTTTGTATTAGTTATAAGAGTAGGAAAGGCAGAATTAATTTTATTCTGTCCCGTAATTCTCACCCTGTATAAAGCCATTAGTCGTATTGTTTACCGAGACTTATTTTTAAAAACAAGATTTGAATTTTCGTATGTACAGATTTATAGCTGACACGATCGTTTTTCGTTAGATACGAACTTAAATTCATCGGCAAAGCTGATAAATAGTTTAATCACGCCATTGATGACGGTATTGTAACCAAGAATACAATGCTACACTCGCAACGTGATTCTATGTTTCTTTATCTATGAACTTTTATTATTTTCTTCATTTTAACTATACTTTTAAAATACGTTACAACAATAAACTATTTGTGGGTTTGGTATAGAGTCCGAAGTCTTGTTTCGCTCTTGGGGAATGAGATTGCGCCATCAGCACCATCTGGTGTGCAATTAAGACTTTATGTGCAACATTGAATCAAACAAATATTAGTGTCATAGTGATCTTATAGGAAGGAATATTTTATTTTCAAGATATTTTTGTATTTTTTTCTGTCCCCCAAATGTATCATATTCGTGACATGATAGCCAACTTTTATTCATGTTTTTGGTGAAACAGCAGTGCAGTTTTATTACATATTACTGTTTATTTGTTGATTATAGTTTGTTACTATAAAAAATTTGTAAAGATTAAAATGTAAAGCAATAACAGTGGATTTGAAGTTTTATAAAATAAAAATAATAAACATTTAAATTGTGTCTTTTAATATTTAATAGATATATATTTAACTATATAATCTTATTTGAATAGCATAATATAATAAGAGCACAGCTTTCAAGGTAAGCATCAAAACTGTATTGATCTACTAACATCTGGCCTAGCAAAACAGTGCTTCGCTGAATGTACCACCACTAAAAACTAAAAATCGGAGGAATTTTTTATTTTTTTCAATTTGGTCTAATTAAAACTGATTATCATTAATTTTTAATATAAGCTTTATTGTATAAAGTAATTAAATAAATTCGATTCGGAACAAATCATCAGGCGTGAGTCAAAACAATTAATTATTATTATATCGTAGTTGGTAGTCTCTTGTACACAAACACGCCACGCTGACGGGGTGAGATTCCGCCACCCATCGATATTTCAATTCATTCGGTATCTCGAGAGACTCCTGCGATTTAGTTTCCCTTCTTTTTAAAATAGTTATCTGTAACAAAATTAAACACTTGTACAGATGTATTTTGAGTTCACGGAATCTGCATACACCTGAAATATGATTTTTATTGGCCTTTTAATACTCTTAAAATTAGGGTTTTGCTTATTGCTGCTAATGAATCTACCGTAATCGAGGTGACGGTACCTATCAATAGCAGTGTATGACGGATGGTCCATCCATCAAAAATGTATTCCGCATTGCTGAGTTAAATATAATGCTTGTTTCAATGAATGAAAACATGAAGATGAAAAAATATGTTACACAAACTTACACTGTATAAACTTTCTTTGCAAATGTAGGGGGGTCGACAGGTCGGCTGTTGTGTTTTATTACAGTTTCTGGTTTCAATGAAGCGTGGAACAGAGTTTTCGCCCAAGTCTTCTATTTCTTTCTGAAATGCAAAACAGTCCCTGGAGTTAGAATTCATTTTGTTATAAAGAAATAAAAAATTTACAATTTTTGTTACATTTTAAACGATTGCTCTATAAATACCAAAATATATTATGACAGGATTTTAAGACACGAAATTATAAAAAAAATATGCATGAAAAGATTTATTGTGGTAAACCGAATGAACTCATGGCCCACGTGATACTGAGTAGTTATCAGAGCCCATTGACTTTGCAATGGTAATACCTACTCTAAATGGTAATAATACTAATGGTTACTCGTTTTGAGACATGCCTAGATTGCAACCTTTTATTCCGACTTTGAAACGCTTCACTACTTTGCGATAGAAAGAGGCAAGATGCTGTACTCGTGCGGGAACACAAAACTCCTGCACCGTTAATTGCGCAAATTATAATTGTGTCTGGTTTTTGGTACAGGATTTTATTCCTTCATCGTGCAAATCGTCCGTGATAAGTACCTACATAACATGTTCATGTTTCTTTAGAAAAATTGGTAGCTATCTGCGGAATTTGAACACCGTTATTGACTCATCGCTCGATACGAGTACACCGGGCGTCTTATCTTTGAGTCCACGACACCTTATATATTGTAGAATAGTACCTAAATAATTTAAAACTGAACTTACCTTGTATTTGCAAGTGCAAGGTGGGTCCGGGATAGCTTGCTGAAATTAATAACAGTAAATATAAGACGATGAATATAATAAATAGCAATTACGGTTTTTGGCCATCAATCAACTTACGTTTTCAACTTGAATGTTTCCCCTTTTTCGTGTTCTCGTTTCAACGGAATTATCCAACAGAATAACATCATTCCTAATCATATTGGCGTAATCAACTATTAAAGCGGACAATTCTTCTGGGCTCGTGTCTGGGTCAAAAGGCTCCGTGTAGTAAGGATTCGGCCTGACGTTTTCTTTATCTCCCAAAACGTCATTTCTTGCTCTTTTCATCATGTAGTTGTGACTTTTATGTGTGCTTTGGTCTTCTACCATAAAACCACCCACGTCTGGTTTTCTTTTCAGCGCTACCGCTTTAGGCACGAATGACTGCACTATCATAAGAATAGCGTAACACAAAATGACTAATATAATCGGTCGAGTAATCTGAAATTAGTTGATAAANTCTTTATCTCCCAAAACGTCATTTCTTGCTCTTTTCATCATGTAGTTGTGACTTTTATGTGTGCTTTGGTCTTCTACCATAAAACCACCCACGTCTGGTTTTCTTTTCAGCGCTACCGCTTTAGGCACGAATGACTGCACTATCATAAGAATAGCGTAACACAAAATGACTAATATAATCGGTCGAGTAATCTGAAATTAGTTGATAAATTTGCATTTAGCTTGAAGTTACCATTACGTAAAGTGAACATTTTACATAGAAAGTTATAATACGTCCGTTTTATAAACGTATTTAGCAAACATTTCATAAAACGAAAAGGTATATCTTACCATGATTGGGAATGCTGGATAACTCAACTGAACGATGCTTCTCAAAGGAATGATAAGGGATGAAATATTTTCTCCCTTATATAGGGGATATTGATTGATGGGTAAAGAAAAGATCCATTAGAAACAAAATCCTTATGAGGGTGTCAGATGATAAATATGGCGATACAATACCTTTTTCTGTGTCCAGCTATTGTTTTCGGCTTTGTGATAAATCCTTAAAATAGAACCATTGTGAAAGTTTCACGCCTACTTTGTGTGATGTTATATACGATTATTAGAAAATCTATATCCAATGTGTACTTACACATTCGCATAATACATTTTTTATAAAATGTTTAAGGTTATCCCAATAAGTCGGGACATCGGATTTTTATCGGTATTTTCTGAAACCGTTTTGGCAAGATAATATAACTAGACTTGATACATAATAGAGCGTAAGTAATTGTAAGCCTGCATGGGAGAGTACTATCTTTTTTATTTAATGTTTGAGAGAATACTTGTCGCTCGGAGGCCTTTCCAGTTTTACCAGAACAGGTGGGCGAACAAGGGCTCAATCAGGAGGGGTGGGAATTGCCAATAGCAACCCGAGCGCCTCCAAAGGGTCTCCTTTGGATACTAGCAACTCAAGAGTAGCTACTTCGCGAGTGAATCTACTACCGGATCGGAATCGCGACCAGCTGAGAAGATCCGACAAGAAACTCAGCGGGCTGAACGTTCGACATTCAGCCGCGATTACGGATTACTCCTAGTGTTAGAGCTATAGGCGTCTAATGCAAGGGTTATTGGATCTGATTGATCCGTAAGGACGTGTAAGGGTTACTACCTACCACTTCGCCCAGTTATGCTATCCGTTTCCAAGGGTGGTAGCTACAATACGATTGAGACTTCAATTTAACCTCATGTCTCACCGTGGTTGATTACATTTACTTTGTGATTTCTATGAGCTCCGGTAACCACTTAACACCATATAGGCCGTGAGCTCGATCACCCATTGACGGATCAAAAAGGAACCTAAATTAATCCCTTTTTCAATATTAAATCCGAAAAGAAAATTTTGGTTATGGTAATTGCGTTCAGATGGAAATATGGTTTATTAAGTGTAGTTTAAAATTAACTATGATTTGCATTTTTGATGTGTTCAGATGTGTCAATGCCGTCTATTGCCTTATTCCGTATTGATTCCGTAATGGAAATGAATTTATGTGTTTCAATTTCGATAGCTTTGCGTCAACATCAGTGGAATTTAGGTAAAAATTCTAAAGCATCATAGACTGTATCTGGGTGCTGATATCCACCGAATTATTTTCAATGATACGTAAATTTTTAAAAAATGCTGTCAAAAAATCCCGAAGAGAATGTATCTATTAATTACTTTGAAAAATGGCACCCCCTGAGGATCTTGTTTGCGCTAGTGTTAGCAAGTCCTAGCAGGTTAAACCCCCTCAGTTCACCAACCAGTCCACGCGTAGTTGGAATAGTCAATTAGGCTACCAAAGATTAGCTAGGGAAAAGAGAACTGGCATAAGCGAAAGGAATCGCAGAAATAAACAGGACTGTAGCAAAACAAGCTAATTTGGCTCTAGGTCTAGGCACGTTCTCTTTTCTACTTCTGACTTATGGACATTCAAATTTAGCTCCGTGTAAACTTACGTTAACGACAAAACAGAATAATCATATTTGAAATCTTTGTGACTTTAATTATGTCTGAATTTGAGAAAATACTATTGTAAGTGTAACTAGGGGATTAAAATAAACCTAAATAAAAAAAAACCACGCAGTTTCTTACAGATTTTATTTAACACAAACTTTTATTGCTTACATTGAACAATGGAAAACAACAATAACGAAATGTTACAAGCGTTACGTAATTGTAAACATAATTAAAAATTTAAAAATTACAAGTCAACGGCAATTTGATTAGATTCCAGAGCTTTTACGGCTTGTTCGAAAGCTAAATGTGCTTGCGGACCTTCAAAGGGATTAAGTGGTTTATCGTCTTTGATGATTCCTTGGATCCTTAATAGTAGGTCTTTCATAATGATCCGTTCTTGGGCCAAAACTTCCTCGTTCATGACGTAGACTGGCCTCCGCTTTAAAAAGACACCGTGCTTTTTAAAGCAGTGCCGATTAAAATCGTGCTTGTAACTGTAGGGCTGCGTGCAGATCTGTGATCAAGATATTATGAAAATATTTAAACAATCCAAACTTTTTCACAAAAAGATCTTTAAGTAACTAGATTTTCTGGGGTCTGAGCTATCGAGAGCAAACCAACATACTAAAAACGTATCCTACTTCGGGTTTTTGACACCATAATCATAATGTCAACAATTTCAAATACACGAAATGAAAATCTGTCCTTCATTGCATTAAAGACTTCATCAACAGTTTGATTGCTATTGTTTTTGAAAAAAATATTGACTTCTTCTATGTTGTATTTTAACAAATACTACAATAATATGTAGATAAAAAAAAATTAAAAAAATGTAAGTACAATAACGAGGCTCGATTACGGAATTTAAAATTTCTTATTATGTGGTAGCATTTGTTATTAACTTAAGGATAGTTTCTTGGACCCGATTGCGTTTATTAAGACTTGACTAACAGGTACCTTCGTAGCAATAATTCTGATGAACATTTAGATTACATATTGTATTGCATCACTTTGGTGTAAGATGGATTACAAATAAAAAAATGGAGCACACAGTTAAGTCATATTTGCCAAACAATTATGAACACTAACCTCACAATTATAAGGTCGCTCTCCGGTGTGCACTCGCATGTGATGATTCAAAGCGGCGTTAGTGTGAAACGACATCTCGCACGACTCGCATTTGATTTTTTTCTTACCGAAATTATGTATTGCTACGTGACGTTTTAATGCAAATTTCTAAGGAAAAGAGAAAAAACAAACAATTATTATACCACAAACGAAAACAAACCGAGTGGACATTTCACTTCACGTCCGATAAGTATGTATTCTTTTTATCATAGTCGGTTACGGCTTTGCAGTGCAGTTGTGGTCATGTGGAATCCTTTTTTATTATAAGCCTTGACGGTTGTTTTCCATAATTCGCGAAATGGGGCTTGGCGTAAGCACTCATTAAGTGGGGTTTTGGTAAGGTTTTTCACTAAATCAGTCCAGCGCATGTATTCTTTTAATGTTGTCTAATTTAGATTATTTTTCATTATAAGGCTGTTCCAGTCAGGCCAGTACTGTCTGACAAATAGAATTAATATGTATGTAGCTTCTAGTGCATCGATACAAGCGAGATATATTACTAAATCAAAATATAACTATCACGAGTGATGGCAGAAAAAATAATAAATCTAGAAATAGATTCTATAAATTATATGGAATTTCAATAGATAAGACGTGTGAATAAAATATACATATATAAAAATATTTCGTTCATAAACAAATAAAAGAATTACTCTTTTGAATCCTTTTTCGCAAGTGTTACAAACAAATTTTCTCTCGGGTGCATGTTTAATCATGTGGCTGGAACAAACACCAAAATTAAATTAAATATAATAGAAATAAAGAAACGATTTTCTTTATGGGGATTCTTTCACGTAACAAAATTCAAATTTGTATTTTAGATTACAAAAACTAAACTAAAGTGTTGGGAGGACGCATTTTGAACATGCTAGGTACTAATTGTTTCAGCAGTCAAGCAAAGGATAGGACTCTTTATTCCTTAATATGTGTTATATATTGTTCTACTGTTTTAAATTATGACAGTTGGCTTCTTTCATTGCCATAGTTGCCAATGTCAAGTTTATAAAAATCTCCAATTAAAAAATGCATACATATTGTTTTATAAAAAAGGCGAAATGGGATGAAATAAACTCTCACTAAAATGGTGGTTATTATTTTTTACTTAGTGGACTTTTTAGAAGAACCCGAGAAGTTAGGTACGCCCAGCGGCTTTGTTTAATTTTCTCTATTTTGTTCACTTTCACAGGTGAGCTGTGAGCTCGTCCAACCATCTACGCAATAAAAAAAAATCTGATATGCATTTGATATGTCACGCCTGTAGGCTTCATAGAACTGTTGAGCCTAGAGGTTACAACAGTAAAAAAAACTACGCGCAATGTGTAAGGTATAAATTAAATAACAGTAATAAAATGTATACTTCCTCAAGGCTTCTTTAGTGACGAAGGCAGCTATGCACTGATCACATTTAAAATCCTTTGAGGCGGTGTGTTTTTTCTTGTGGTATGTTAAGCCTCCCGAAGACAAAAACCCTTTACTACAAATTTCACATTTATATTTCTTTTCTCCTGAAAAAAAATCCTTAACGTAATGATTTATTACGTTACGATAACGTAATTTAACTGAACTTAATAAGTTGATCGCCATGCGGCCCACCGGTGGGCCTAGCGTACTATTATACAATTCGGGCTAAGCAAAAATCAGGGAAATAGTAATATTTATCAACTTGATATTTTCATTCTACAATTTATAAAATGTGATATGTGTATGATTTGCACGGAAGATAAAAATCAGCTACTATTACCATTTAATATACTGGTGGTAGGACCTCACGTGAGTCCGCACGGGTAGGTACCACCACCCCGCCTATTTCTGCCGTGAAGCAGTAATGCGTTTCGGCTTGAAGGGTGGGGCAGCCGTTGTAACTAAACTGAGATCTTAGAACTTATATCTCAAGGTGGGTGGCGCAGTTGCGTTGTAAATGTCTATGGGCTCCAGTAACCACTTAACACCAGGTGAGCTGTGAGCTCGTCCACCCATCTAAGCAATAAAAATAAAATAAGTTTTTAAGCTATTTTATATAAGGCTATAATTTTGATGAAAACTGCAACTTTCTATTGGATTTGAAAATCAAGGCGTTCGGTTAGGCTAAAAGACCCTGTTAAAGTTAAGTTAAAGAACCCTCACGCGGCCCACAGGTGACCCATCATGGCCCGAATGGTTCAATAAGATAAGGCCCACCGGTGAGCCCCTTGGCCTGAATGAAAATACTCGATCTTCCATGTGGCGTTCAACGTGTTAACTATGGCTTTGTTATTGTGTGATGCTCAAACGAAACGACAAAGAGACAAGGATTTTTTCTCCTACCTAAGCTGATAGCCTTGAGAGGCTATTTCAGCGTAACCTAACTAGTAGGTGAGCTGACGGAGCTCAAACCTGACGACGTTGCTAACACAAACCCTAGCAAGAGCCGTGCTTCGCAGAATCTACCACCGGATCGGAAACGCGACCCACTGAGAAGATCCGGCGAGAAACTCAGTGGGCTGTGTCTGTGGGTTAATTTATTCGTCGAGCCCTTCGTCGCAAGCGACGGGTTCGACAAGAACGATGACCGGGACAAGGATTAACGTTTACACATCACATTTAAGGTCATATAATCCTCCCTTCCTTCTATGTTTGCTACGAAGCAGTCTAAGGGTTCGATGGCTGGAACATAACATACAATCCTGACTTCGACCTCAAATCTCAAGGGAACAGGTGGCATTCACGCTGCGTTGTCTATTGGTTCTGGTAAACAATTAAAAACACAAGATGAGCGCTGAAATCGTCTGGCCACTGAAAATAATAATTTGAAGTGACTATGTCTAGACAGTCTAGAGGCAGGCTTATTAATAATTGAAGACATGAGTGGATGAAGGGGATATGATACAATTTATTAATTTTGTTACTTGTACTTTTCTGCGTACATAATTCCTTCATCACATGCAATTTGTAAAAATATCCTTTAAGCCCGTAGTATTAAGGTCTAATATGGTTTATAGGCACATACCACTTTCATTCAAGGTAAAAACTCTAAAAATCTTAAAAATGGTATATAACTCCTTCATCCACTCTTGTCTTCAATTGTCGGGAGCCCTCTTTTAAGTTTATGACGAAATGAAATCTACCCTCATATTTCTAACACTATATGAACAAACCAACTATATCGTATGAACCACACGCGAACGCATTAAACACGAACAAACAAACAAAACAAAGAATATTCGTGCTATACTGTATTAGAACAACAGCATTACAAAAAATTCCCATTTATATTATAAAAAATGAGAAAAATAAGAATACAAACCTGTATGTACTAGTGCATGAGCTTTTAATGATTTAGTTATTTTACCACAGTAAGGACAAATATCTTGCCGGATCTTATGAGATCGTTTTTTAACGACATCGGGGTCACTTTGCAGCAGAACGACATTCTTTAAGACTTTCGGCTTTATCGGTTTCTTGCATATTTTATATTCAATTTCAACTGTGAATGAAATAAACTTTGGTTACAGTTTCATCGCAATTCCGGTCAATTAGTAATTGGCATTGGCGAAGCAGCTGCCTTTAAAACGTAAAATACCTTCGTAGACTGGTGCAGTTGCTAGTCAATCTTACTGCACCATGTAGAGTTCTTCCTTCATCAGAAAAAATACGAGTTCACGGCCTACCTTACGTTAAGTAATATGATATTTTATAATGGATGTCTCATCCTTCAAAAAGGACGTCATTGACTGCTCCGCGAGGAAAACTGGCAGGATTGATATCTTTTGTAATCCCACAAATCTACCTTTGTGGGATTACAATAAGTCACATCACTAGTAAAGTTTTTTTCAATGTTGTCTCTTGAATGACAAAGGCAAGTAGTGATGTTTATTTTGGATAAAAAGTTTCCATAAAATATCTTGTTGTCAAAACATAAGAACATACTTACTACCTTTTTCATGCTTCAAAATTTCCTTCTTATGTTTTTCTAATTTCAATGGTTTCTCAGATTCATTTACTATATCAGTATCACTGTGGAAATCTTCAGCGCCACTGTCCTGTAATAAATTCAGTATGTTTCACTATCTGAAATCTAAAACAGGTTCAAGGCAAGTTTATAAGAGTTTCAAAATATTATAAAAACTAGAAGGTAAAAGCCACTAATTTTTTTCTTCCGTGCAAATTGTTGCATTATATAAATTTTAGAACGAAAATGTCAACTTGATAATAAGTACTAAATTCCTGATTTTCGCTTGGCCGAATATGGCCTACCTTTGGCCTACCGATGGGCTGAATAGATATTCAATATATTAAGTAAGTTTCTAGAGTTAATTGAAGGAATCTTACAAAATTCATTAATAGACAGCTACTAAGTGACATGGTGTTACTATTATAATAAATGTAAATTAAAAAGAGGATATAAAAACAATATAGGTAAATCTAAATTGATTTCTAACAAAAACTACTACGATAATTTTATGTACAAGCAGGCAAAGTGGTAAACTGAAATAAGATTTAGAGGTACAACACATGTAACATTAGAGAGGTAGGAATTCAGTTCACTGTCTGGAAAGATGGAAATGTACAATTGCCAACAAATATTCCAGTTTGGTAGCACTTGTGAGTTGAAAAGAGAGCTATGATGAAATCCAAATAATAAGAATAATTTTATAAGTTTTTTTTTCTAGTAAAGTTCAACTAATTTGTAATGTTTTAAGGATTTCAGCTGTGATTAAAATGACTTACTTCATTTCTCTGATCCAATGCATCAAAGTCCTTTTCAACATCATGACAAAGTTTCCTGATTAGAATATCATTATATGAAATGCAATTGTTTTTAGTTTGTATTAAGTCAATTAAAGTTATTGAATTAAGTACATTTCTTTTATCGTCTAATATTCCAGTTTGTACTTTGATATCATTGAGATCACTAAAATAAATTCTTTTCAGTAAATTTCTTTCATTTAATAAGTCATGCGAGCTGAAAACAATATAATGTTAAGAAACTTAACATCTTATACTTTTTAGAGAATCTTTAACATCATAATATTCATCATAGGAGATCATGAACATAGAATAATTTTCAAGGTAAATGATTAAATAAAAATTAGTTCATTAATTTATACAATTTTAATACATATTAGATGTACATAAGTCACAACTCACTGTTTTATAAAAAGTTTGAAATTATATGCTTCGCGAAGCTGCCTCAGACAATCAAGACATATTTTATTTGGAAGCTGATCATTTTTGTTAATCTGAAGATGATAAGATTAATAATTATTATATTATCACGGATTTAATTGCCAGAATAGATGAAATTAGAATTGCATTCTGGAAACATTCTCGAATGCAGCCCTCTTTGTTAGGTCTAACTTAGGTAATATAATTATATTACACTTTGCATTAAAGAGTTAGTAGGTATTATTACACTTTTATAAACTTATTTAAACAAATAGTATCACGTAATAAATACTATACACATTGATTACATTTTACTTTTTATTTGACAAATTAATATTTTTGTACCGGTATGTTTGCTACTGATGTAATCATATTATTAAAGGTTGTTTCACCATCAGAATCGAATATGGAACGCTGATTCTTTTTGGATTTTAAACAAATTCTGCATCTATCCATATCAATAAAGCAATGTTTTTTATACTTGTGGTTACATCAATTAACCGTTCATTCAGATTGAACTTTATACTACATATTTTACAATTTTAAATAGTTCAAGAGCAGAATTCTTATTTAGAATACATTGTAAATTTTAGGAGTCCATTGTTTTACACTTTACTTCATAATTTTAGCCATTAATTGTAGGCTATTTTACTTTGTAGATCATTTTGTATTATCTACGTTTTATGCGTTTTGTTCTGATAATTGGTCTTGCTTTTTTAAAGGAGGGTAGAAGTAATTTTTTTATGTTTGACTCGCCTATCATAGATTATACACTTAATATTGTCGCCTATTGTACAGACAAAAGGAGATTAGCTATAATACCAACCAAATGTCTAAATTAAATTAAATTGAAATAGAATTAAAATGAAACAATTGATTTGTGGGGTATTTATTAAAGTTGTATCGATACTATCGAATAAGCCAAATGCCGAATACATAGGCGTTGGTTGAGATGAAATGAAATAAAAATCGGTAAAATGATGGGTTTACTGAAACATCAATAGGTATTTTAAAAGAACACGAGAAGTGACGTCCACCAACTTTGTTTCATTTTCCTACGATTGTGCATTTTCATACATGATATACGATTAATAAGCTACCGCTACCAGCGTCAAACTATTAAATGTTTAAACCTGAAAAAACACTGATTCAGTCCGTCATTGGTCATTATTTAATTTTATCTCATTTCATTCAATTTCATTTGATTTGATCCCATCTCATAGATTGCAATTTCAAATAAATCGACTTCACTTCATTCCGCTCCATTTTTCATTTAAATTATTTACTTAATAATTCCATTTCCATCATTGGTATACATGGTATGGTATGGAAAACATCGTTTAGATATTTTAAGCCTTCTTCATTTCATTTTTTTTTATGAAAAAAGGATTAGTAGTAGCCACAATGTCTTACCAGTTTCGTCAAGACAGGTGGGCGTGCAAAGGCTCAGCCAGAAGGGCTAGGGTTTGCTAACAGCTGCCAGAGCCTCTTCAATTCTACAAATTTGAAAAACCCATTCTGTAAGACAATGGGATTAAAATTTAAAAATACTAGTGGTCCCCCCCGATAGTCGATGTTTGACTATAATTAATTGAATTTATGAGTTTACGATTCTGTTGTGAAAGATTAATATACTTCTAATAATCAGATTTCACCAAGACTACACTATAGCAAACAATATTTAATCTATTCTCAATTTGACCACTTAATTGACTGCATTAAGAAAACTTTTAACTTTGACAATAAACACATATTAGATTAGGGGTTAAAGTATCAAATTGCCGATTTGTGTACTATTGAAATATTGAAATTCTTTCGTTCGTTTTTTTTTTCAATTAACAATTTTATTTAATCAAAATATCTACCATTATTTATCTATACATTACTGCCATCTAATAGGCAGGTCATTTATGCCTTTGCGATAGAACTCTGGTGATCTAGATTCTACAAATTGTGTGAAAGCATTTTGTACTGCCTCTTTGGAAGAAAACTTTTTATCACGTAGAAAATTGTCCAAATCGCGACAAAAATGATAGTCCGTTGGAGCAAGGTCTGGCGAATACGGAGGGTGACGAATGGTTTCTAATTGCAGTTTCTGTAGATTTAAAACGGTTTCTCGTGCTGTATGAGGTCTCGCGTTATCATGGAGCAATGGTGAAGATCGATTCATGAGTCGGGTCTGTTTCACTGCAAGTTTTGCTATCATTGTTCGGAGTTCGGCACAGTGGACATCTGCCGTTATTGCTTGACCAGATCAGAGAAAGCTATAGTGAATAACATCATGCTGAGACCAGTTACCATTACCTTTTTATTGGTAAGCTTTGCTTTAGGACACTGTTGCGGCGTTTGACCTGGGGTCTGCCATTGCATTTTTCGCTTACGGTTATCGTAAAGAATTCACTTTTCACCACATGTCACAATTCGATCCAATATTCCTTCATTTCTGTATCGATTCAACAAGGCAACACATGTTTCAACACGCGTTTCTTTCCGCAGATCAGTCAAATCATGAGGCACCAATTTTTCATATTTTTTTATATTATTGATTTGACGCAAATGAGTCAATATTGTAGGTAAGGTAACATTAAACCATGGCGCCAATTCCTGGGTAGCTTGGCTCGGATCGGCTTCCACCTTCTTTTTTAATTCATTGTTATTCCCATGCGTGGGCGATCTTCCACGTGGTTCGTTCTTCAAATCAAACTTTCCATCACAAAAGCGTTTAAACCAAAATCGCACAGTGCGGTCATTAGCAGTCCCCTTTCCAAACGCAACATTGATATTGCGAGCTGTTTCTGCAGCGTTAGTTCCGCGTCGGAACTCGTATTCAAAAATTACTCGAATTTTCTAAGTATCCATCTTTCTTGTCTAAGCTGAATAAAAGAAAAACAACTGAAAGTCATTAATCAAATGTTGCACATTTTTTAAAAGAAAAACCTCATGGGTACCATTTGAAAAATGTTTCACCCAAAAATCTCAAACCATGAAGGTTCTATGCTTTTGTCAATTCGAAGTACATATTACAATAAAATGGCAATTTCTTACTTTAACCCCTATTAATATGCATGCGTGTGTCAAATACATGGTAGTGTGTGTAATGTTTTCGAAATTGATTTAATGTATTTTTAAGCATTATTTAAAAAAATATTAACATTACGCACACCTTCTGTATATTCTCTATAAGTGTGAGAAATTTCATACTCCTCCGTCCACGCAATTTTCGTAAAAATGCGTACAAAGTTTTTGATTTACCTACGTATTAAGTTAAATGAAAACCACTTTTACAGCTTCCCTAATTCATTATTTTCATTTTGCATAACTTTCAAAATAATAAAACTGTTTTGAAGTACATAATAACAACAACAAACAGAGAGAGGTATCTTGTGAAACATATAAGGTACCCTGTCCAGAGTCCAGAAACGTTGACAAGTCGTTGACACGAGTCTGACAATATTCAAATTTCGACGAAAAGTATGTACCTACTCGTCAAAGTTCTTGACCACGAAAACTTACTGGTGGTAGGACCTCTTGTGAGTCCGCGCGGGTGGGTACCACCACCCCGCCTATTTCTGCCGTGAAGCAGAAATGCGTTTCGGTTTGAAGGGTGGGGCAGCCGTTGTAACTATACTTGAGACCTTAGAACTTATATCACAAGGTGGATGGCGCATTTACGTTGTGGATGTCTATGGGCTCCAGTAACCACTTAACACCAGGTGGGCTGTGAGCTCGGCCACCCATCTAAGCAATAAAAAAAAAAGAATAAAAACTCGTAAGTATTCGAAACGTCGAATCCTATGAAAATGGATATTTTAGATTATTTTAAAATTAAGATATAAAATTATTTTAACACTTAGTAAAATTAATAAACAGAAAATTAAATCGTAAATGTAGTTTTAATGTCTACGCTAGTGTGATTAGTAGATAAGCTCATTTGGACCCATCCCACATTGGGACTGTGGGATGTGTTACTGGAACTCATAGACATCGCAACGTGAAACTGACTTTGAGACATGTCTAATTTCGATTGAATAGATAGTTTTTTTTAAAATACTAGGCACGGCCTTCAATTCGGAAAGCATGGCTTTGCGGTATAAATAGGCAGAATGGTGGTACCTATCCGTGTGACCTCACAAGACCGGTGATTGTCGGTGGGCGATAACGACATCTATGGGTGTTCGAATCCCAGGCGGGTACCAATTTTTGTAACATGAATTACGTGCTCAATAAATGTTCACGATTGACTTCCACGGTAAAGGAATAACATAGTGTAATAAAAATCAAACCCGAAAAATTATAATTTGCGTAATTACTGGTAGTAAGACCTCTTGTGAGTCCGCGCGGGAAGGTACCACCCTGCCTATTTCTGCCGTGAAGCAGTAATGCGTTTCGGTTTAAAGGATGGGGCAGCCGTTGTAACTAACTACCTATACTTGAGACCTTAAAACTTATATCTCAAGGTGCCAACCACCTTTAAGCTATTTACGTCGTAGATATCTATGGGCTCCAGTAACCACTTAACACCAGGTGGGCTGTGAGATCGTCTACCCATCTAACCAATAAAAATAAAAAATAGGAATACAGCTAAAACACTTGAGAGTTTTCATCAACAACTTTTAATAAACATAATAAAAATCACTTCCAAACCCCTTCATTTATATCACGATGAAAGCTGTGTGCTTTTGACCGCTGATAACTTTAAGGATTGGGTTTATCATTTTTAAACATCGAAACTCATTCAAAAATTTTCTTTCGAACTTTGAGTGCGATTCCTTTTTAGGCGTGTTTCTTTTTAAATTTCTATAGTACATACCTAATCAATTTATAAGCATTACACAATTTAAATGTTTGCCTCTTTTGAAAATCGGACAAATAGTTAAGTTAAACGTTTCATAGTGACATTTAAAAATATAATAAAATGATTTATGAAACATTTATTAAACAAATACAAAATCTTTTTATTTTGACCGTCAGTTGTCAGTCCTCTGGTCCTCTCTACTGATAAAATGTCAGGATTAAATTCAAGCCGTAATATTAAGTGTATTCTGTATGATAACCTTCTTCTTTTTCTCCACATTATCCCGCTAGGTGGGGTCGGCACAGCGAATTTTTCTATTCCATTCTCTTCTATCAGCCGTCATCTCAACACACACTCCTCTCTCTCTCTCTCCCTCTCTCATATCGTCATTCACACACTCCATCCATGTGTTCTTCGGTCGACCTCTTCCCCCTCTACCTTACACTACCATTTATATACATCTCTTAGTCACATGCATCTTCTCTCTACACATCCATACATGTCCATACCACGATAGCCGTCCGCTCTTTAATTTTCACACTTCCTCTGGTATACTGGTGGTAGGACCTCTTGTGAGTCCGCACGGGTAGGTACCACCGCCCGGCCTATTTCTGCCGTGAAGCAGTAATGCGTTTCGACTTGAAAGGTGGGGCAGCCGTTGTGACTATACTGAGACCTTAGAACTATATCTCAAGGTGTGTGGCGCATTTACGTTATAGATGTCTATGAGCTCCAGTAACCACTTAACACCAGGTGGGATGTGAGCTCGTCCACACATCTCAGCTATAAAAAATAATAATATAAATACTCATTCCTTATCTTGTCCATTGTTGTCACTCCATAAATCCATCTCAACATTCGTATCTCTGCCGCATGCACTCCCCTTTCACGCTTTACTTTCGTCACCCAACATTCAGTTCAATTGTGCACGACA